TGTATGTCTTTACTGTGTTGTGGTAACTCACCTATTCCATGAAAAAACTGACCAAACTGAGTCAAAAACAACAGATCTTGACTTTCTCTTTCATGATTTTTTATGAACGACGTGTTTCATGAAACATATGTCACTTTGATGTTATAACCCCGTAATTAACACTTTAAATTAATCAAATGTCAAAATTAAGTGACGATAATCACCGTGTGAAATCAAAATATACGACTTGAGTCGATCTCCTTTAAGTAAAAATGATGACTTCGTCTCTCAGCATTTTCTTATCAATCTGATGCTTTGAAAAAATACTCCTAATATTTCAGATGTTTTTCTTTTTTTCTGGCAGGAATGGTCTTCCATATAGTGCGGCACAAAACCCAAGCGATACACAAAAGCACCCAAACCCAAACAAACAAAAACCAACAGACAAAACACTCCCCACACGTAAAGAAATCGATTTCGATTTAGGGTTAAGAAAGCAGTGAGGGCCTGGTTATGTCTGCCCGAGGTTGGACTTGGGGTCCGATTTCTGGGAACCTGGATGTCTACTCCTTTCCATCCAGGAAAGGATGACAGAACAAGTGTAAAGTGAACACTGGTGATTGCAAATTAAGACAAAAAAAGAGGAGCTAACAATGGTTTTTTCATCCAAGGTTCATCATCATTTATTAGAAAATGTTCTTTTACCTGAGAGAATCCTTCAATAGCTTCCTTTACCCATTCACAAAAAGTGGTCTGTGTTTGCGTGTGTGCGTGCACGTGTCTGTGTGTGTACTGTGTCTTGCCGATGCTCTCATGGGACAGTGCATTATTTTCACACAAATGTAAGAAAGAGATCTGATTAGACAAAAAAAATCTAATAAAATTCACAATGTTTACTCAGCCACTTATTGCACTTCATTCAAAATAACTGTAAACGCTATAATTGATCATTTCATTGCATGGCTTTGCCCAAAGGCCTCTGCCGTTTTTACTTTCAGATTGAACAGAAATTTAATGGTGCAAAAGTCATTTGGCTTGGGTGCAATTTAAATATACATATATTATAGTATTACCTCTGAAGAATCTTCTACCTACTGTTGGTTTGGTCAAATCAAAGTGCTTTTAAGTAAGTGCTAAAGGATTTTTGCTATCAAACACTTGCCTCACATTTCAAAAGCAGAGGTAAGCACATGGTTAACTAACCTTACTTGTGCTACATAAAATCCACATATGAACGTCAACTACTTTGAATACATAAATGTCAGCAACTTGGTCGCGATATGCAAAGATTAAAGCTACATTTTCAAGCAAGACTGAATTTAGGGCCTGGTTTTAATTTTATAATTTGAGGCTCTGAGACGCACCAAACAATGAGAGCATCGCATTCGACGCACACAAGCAAAGTTCCAAACAACACACATATACATACACACACCACTTTCTGAGCAGTTCACAAAAAAACAGCACGTCTCGTAGAATCCTTGTTCTCCACAACATCCCCGGAGCCCCTCCTACTTCTCTGGGTCCCAGACGACTGAAGATTTACTGAGCCTAAAGGACCAGCCAGCAGGCTGGGCTAAAGGCCAGCTAACCCCAACAGTCCTGGCCCGCACCCACACAAAGTAGCAAGGGTCTCTAGGTCATGCAAAGAACCTCTGGAATTCAAGCAAGGGCCAAATCTGATTTCATAAGCAAGACTGGCTCACAGTTGTTACAGCGAGCATGTCTTTTGGAGGGAAATTGCATAGACATCTTGCTACTTGCATGTCTTAACAAACTCTACATTTGGCATGGGGGAGGGGAGAGGGAAACCAAAAACAACCATAAAACCAAAAGACATTACAGACAATCTCCACCCTTGTCCAACATGTCAACATGTGAGAATAAACCAGGATCCATGGAGGGGAAGGGCTGAGAAGCTCCACAAAGCCAGCCTCAAAAACATCAGTCTGCTTGTTGTGGTGAGGAGCAGCATGATTTGTTTGAGCTCGGGGTGTCACCAATTGTTAGAAACCAAAATTACTTTCAGCTTTAAACAGTTGGAGCTGAAAATATGACGCTTGGTTCAAACTTGCATCATTTGTACTTTCATTTATGCATTGTGGGAAGGTTGCTTAGCTATTCAATCTCATAGAAGCAGAAAAAAGGAAATGGATCCAGAAAAGCATTTAAAACCTACTGAGATCTGATTACTGAAACTAATTCGAGAGGTGATTCCAGACTCGTTTTAGCTAGTTACTGAAATGCTATACATACACATTTGTCTCTCCGAGATGCACAAGTATTCTTTATGCCTCACAAGTGCAACCACATCAGCAAATGACCCGTGGAAGAAGGCCCCAATGGCATCTGAAATGACTTGTGTTAACGAGGCCTCACGTACTTGTTGCAAACTACTTCAGGTTTTAGTTAAATTGATCCTCACAGAAAGTTCGGATTCAGTGTATTTAGGCTGGCTTTTTGGGGCATTGGTGGACAAATCCATTTTAGACTTTGACAACTACGATGTGGGTGTTAAACAGCTGTTTCAACTGGCATTCATGCCCAATAATAACCTGCTCCCTATCCCACTTCCCACTTTCCTTTGTAAGTCACCCAAAATCAAATATACACGTTTATCTACCTGGAGTATTTGGTGTGAGTTGCAGAGTTTTGGATATATAATTTGTAGATATGCCTATTTTCTCTTTAATTATAACATAAGTGCCCCAAAATCTATAAAACTCAGAAGTAATGTGAAGTTACTTACAGAAAAGTCAGAAACCTTGTTGCGACATGACCAGTTTCAGGTACAGACTGTTTTCTTTGCACTAAACTAAGCCTGCCATTGCAAATGAAAAGCATTAACGCTCAGCTGAAATGAATGCCGGTCATGTTCACATTCTGTCATAGGCACGAGCTTCTTGTCACATGGTAGATGCATGCTTCCCTTCAGTGCAGCGACTTGGTGACTGAAACCTCAGTTGGACAGGGGAGTTTTTAAGTAGCACAAAGCAAATGGGCCAGTTAGAATTATTGTTCCTCAAGAGAAGGCTGACGTTTGTGCAGCTCATATCTCTGGAAAAGAAAAAGGCAACTCACACCAACATAATCTCGGTCAGGGGTTCTCGGTGTTTTGATGACCAATTGCAGATTTAGGGAGCACAAGAAAAATGCACATTTAATCAAAGGCTTTTTAAGTGTGTGTATCTTCTGTTCTGTTGATTGAATTCACCTGTTGCTTATCACCCTTACCTATCCGTCTTGGCCGAGCCCCACTTTTCCCAAGTCTTTTCTGTTGTTTTCCTTTTTCCCTATTTTTCTGTTGGGTTCCCTATTGCTAGATCGACCTGCCTCTTTATCCACTGCTCTTTGACACTTTAATAAAGTCCTTGCTTTCCTGTCATGTCTTACTTTTGGCTTCTCAGTCCTGATAGAACTGTGGATGAATAAAATATATGCAAATATATAAAATTAAAATAGTAGTGGATTCTTAATTGGGCCACAAAAATGCCACTGAGAGCCACTGGAGCGCACTTTGAGAAGCCCGGCTCTACTATGGACCATGTAGATTTGACTTTGGGGTGAAGCGTCTCTTTAATAAAACATCCCCCACTGCACTCCTGACCTTTAACTGCCGCAGCTGCTGGCAACACTCACATCAATAGTTTGGAAAAACGGAATCTGATCCCATAGGTAAACGCACACTCGCACACAAAACTATAGTCATTCATGTGAGGCGTGAGAACACGAGGGGTATGCATCCATCTCTTTGCAAACAACACGAGGCACAGGGCTTACGATTAATGTCACAGGGCACTTCTGAATATGGATCTGCATGCACATGTGAGAGGGTGCACACATAAAAAAAAAAAATGTAACAAGCATTACACATTACTTTGCTCTTTTTTTTCTTTTTACTTTTATCCACTTGCATGACAATGGGATGGAGCGGTTAAATTGACTTTTTACAATGAATCTTCGAGTGTTGTATGTTTTCGTATTTACATCCTTGGTTATGGCCAAAATAAGCTGTAAATGAAAAAACAAAACAAAACACAAAACATAGAAAAATACATGACATAGTATTGCACCTTGCAGACGGGCAATATATATATTCTCAGTTTTGTTGGTTGTTTTGTAACATCTATGTGACACCACTATCCTCTCTGCTGGTGTGTGGAAGTTAGGTTGTGGGTGCCGGGCTCAGGTCCAGCCCCTTCCTGTCAGCTACATTCAATTCCATAAAACACTCAGCTATTACAGAAGTCAAAATCCCTCAGTCTCTGGGCCATTCACATTTTAGGTTTACCGTCTAAAGACTGTGCCTTTAAGGTGGAGAAGTGCTCACGTTGGCAGAGCTCAGAGCTGACGTCTCGACATTTTCTTGAGTTTAAGTTGCACCTCCTGTCATTCGAGAACCAAATCAATAAGGTAGAGGGCACCAAAGCTTGAGGGAAGAGTCCTTTTGTAACTTACACCGATGCGTACGCAAGCACATATTATCTCGACATGTACACTTTTTTTTTAAAATCTATATATGCATCTCTGAACTTTCACATGTGCCTGCAAAATATGACTCCTCCCAAGTTCCTTTGAGTCTTGTGTTGTGTGAGGTATGACAAGATTGTGTTTCAGTTTTTTTTTTTGTTGTTTTTTTTTGTATTTTCAGTTTTTGTTGCATTATTTTTTTTCTATTTGTTTTTTTCTTTCCTCCAAAGATGTATTTCATTAAAAAAAAGGAACAAAATATATATAAAAAAAGAAAATTCCTGGGTTTTTTTTTTTTGTTGGTTGTAAATTTCCTCCTGATAAAAGGGGACGGACAACTGGACAGACACACGGACAAACAGATCAGTTGGCTTACAAACACAAACTATAGACGTGAAAAAGAAGTGAAATATGTTACACTGCACACATGGTCAAAAAGTGACAACAGCTGTTTTGTTTTTCTTTTACACAGAGCAGTTGAAGGGTAAAAAAAAACCAAACAAACAGAAATATAAGAAAACAATGATAAAATGAAAAATAAAAATCTCCAATAATTTTGTTCAGGAGTCTTTTTTTTTTTTTTAAAGTCATCTTTTTTTTCATATTGTTTGACGGATGTAAAATCCTTTTCATATATCTTTTGTTTTCTTAATCTACATCAGACTCAGAAGGTAAAAAGCAGCATTATAACCCCGACTGTCACACGCACATACCCAGTCAGCTCACAACAACAAAGGCCGTCGATTTCTTTTTCGGTTCTTTTACAAAGATGTGTTGGAATCCCAAACCTGCATCTCAGGAATGCCGGATCTGTCTTCCTGATCCTCACAATCTGAACGTTGGAGGTAATCCTTACAGTGGGAGCTGAGGGAGGACATTTGGGGTCGTCAGCTGGCACGGGAGCGGGGGTTTGCGCGGGGCTGCGTGGGAGCCGAAGGGGACATCTGCCCTTCCTCCCTGTGTTTGACGACATTGTCTCTGCAACCAGCCACATCACCCCCTCTCGCCCATGTCAATGATGGCAGTGAGGGTTGAGGCCCTCGGCTTTTTTTTGTTTGTTTGTTTGTTTGTTTGTTTGTTTCCTGTCCTTTCTTCTTCTCTTGCATCCACGCATTCTCACACTCCGGTCTCTCGTCCCTGCTGCTTTGTCGGTCACATTCAATTGGTGGCGCCACTCTAAAAGGGCAGTTATGGCCAGCCTTGTTTCACAAGGCCTGGATCCTGTTTGGTGTGAATGAATCTGGACAAAACTGGGTATGAACTGCTCAGTGGTGACAGCTAGGATGCTTTGGGTAAAGGAGAGGATTCTCAGTGTCCAGAAGAGGGCTTAAAGTGAACTTTGAGTGGGCTCTAGTATGGGACAGCGAGTACTACACGGATAAAGAAAAAGCCCTCCTAGGGAGGGGTCTCTGCCCACTGCTTTTGGGCTGTTTTGGCTCTACTGGTGTAATGCTGACAACAGGACAGGTTTAGGGCCGAGCCCACTGCAAAGTGCAAAGGCCCCGTTAAACAGAGCAGCTCAGGATACCCAATTGTGATCAATTTTAATTGGGAAAACTAACCTGAAAAGGAGAGTTTATGGGGTGTTGCATTAGTGCAAAAACTCCCACCAGCCTGGCTGAGTGGGGTCTGTTATCATATTGATGGCGGGAGGGGGGGGGTTAGACTTGAGCTAGGCTCCAGAAAGGGCAGTGTCACGGACTGGACAAGAGGAGGGTAGAATCCTCTAGAATGGATCTCTAGAGGTGGTGATGCACTTTAGGAAGAGTCAAACCAGACTCCACCGCTGTGCCCAAAGATGGCGTTCCAGTCCCTCTCCCCTCCCAACTGCACTCAAGCTCTGAGGAGGTGTGGATAACCCATCCTGTGCATGTGCCCAGTATAAACTACTGCTTGGTATTGGATAGAAAATAGACTAGATTTCTTTCAACCCAGTGAGATTTGGCTTGGCCCCAGAATTGGATTGAACAGAGTGAGCTTTTGAAATCAAATCAAACACTCCTGTATGGTCATTTGGAGGGTAAACTTATCATATCTGCCATGGATGTTTGAGCCGAGATATTACTGCTATAGTAGTGAGCGTTGGGGAGCTAGAAGTGCGATTGAGTTGCCTGCGAGGAGGCTTCACTCCATAATTTTTTTATGTCAAACACACTGCCCATGCATGACAGAAAGCTGAAATTTTCCATGAAAACATTTACCAAGCTCCAGTGGCAGCTATCATAAGTGTAGCGTGGTACGTCGTCACCACGTGCCGATTTGACGGGCGTGGCCACCTCGACTTTTCGGTTACTCCGTGTAATCGTTCCTCTTGCTGCTTTTTGCTTTAATGGGCTGCACATCCCACGCTGTCCTTCGTTGCTTCTGCGAGCCGGTTTCTGTCTTTAGAGAAACTGGTAAATCCCAATTTGAAAAGATGACACTTGGTCCCGCTTGATAAAAAAAAAAAAAGAAAAAAAAGAAAGAAGAAGAGATAACCCGAATGTTATGGGTACCACTCCCTGGAAGGGGGTAAAACCTTCCAGGGGGATGGTTGGCCCTCCTGTCTTCAGTGGCATTTCATTTGAACCAAGTGACAGCGCTGTGTGTATGTGTGTATTCTGCGAGTGTTTTTGTCTTTCCATGACTACGAGTGTGCAACTATGCACATCTGTGTATCATTCTACACATACTCCAACTCGAATGGTGTATGTCTGTGTGTAGGCTGTGGGCAGCTGCCCTGTGTCCACAGAGGTGAGGTAGTGCCTGACACCACAGGGGCAGTAATGCTGCCCGAGCCTAGGGGTGTGTCCACTTTGAGGTAAATGGTAGCCTTCTTGGCATTTGCCTGCTCTCAGTGACGCCCATGGTAAAAAAAAAAATAAAAAAAATAGAATAAAATAACCAAGAAACAAGAAAAAAACAAAACAAAACAGAAGGCAAATGTGTATGGAAGCCTGGAGGGGCCACACTGAGTTGAGCCCACGAAAAGAGGACTCTGTACAAACCCTGCAGGTTAGGGCTGTATATCAACACTGCCGTGCAGTGCATTCAGTAAAATGAGGCATTCACGTTACTCTGAGGTGATGTGTGTTTTCGTGTGTGTGTGTGTGTGTTAAAAAGACAAAAAGAGAGTCAGTGTGTATGTGAAGAGGCCTGCCGTCTTGCTGGTGTTTGCTGCTATTCAGAACCTCCTCGGAGGTTGGGTGTGGGAGATTTACTTCTGACCTCTGGCTCAGAATCTACAATCCAGCTTTTACGTTGTAATTCCTCTCTCTGTCCCTGCGCCTTCCTTTTCTCCCACCTCCCCTCTAAGCATCTCCCTTTCTCCTCCCCCTTCTTTTTCCTCTTCCTTCCCTTCCTTCAATGCTGTAACTCTTCAGACAGAGAAGGGCTTACTTGTCATTCATAAGATGGTAGGCTGCTGGCACAAGCAGCATAGGCAATGACAAGGCAAGTCTGCTCGTGTGTGTGTGTGTGCGCGCGTATGTGTGCGTTGTATGTCACAGGAACCGGTCCAATGACAAAAATGAAGGTAGATATCAAGCCATGGTCTGTATGTTTTTCAAAGAGAACACAATTTCATAAAACTGGAGTAGCCTTATATAAATATAGCACCGGTTTCACAGGGATATGAGAAGAACAAGCTCCAAAAACAGCTGTCATGGCTCAGATTGAGTTGAGTAATTGATAAGTGGTGCGGCTGCTCTGCTTTACCGCAGCCGTTACACACCACGGAAACGTTTACGTCTGCTGAAATTTTTATGTGCAGTGTCTGCTAATTGCGTGCGCCTGCATGACTGTGAGCAACAATATGACACTACTGTCCATACCTTCTGAATCAATGCCTTAACACTTATTCAGAAATAATACTGAGAGGTGCTGGCCAGCTTTGACGCTGGAAACATGGGCTTCAAGACAAGTGTAAATCTGTGACCGCTACAATAAAACCAAGGAGGGGAAACTGACCCTCCAAAGAGTGCTGCCCTGAAGAACTGAGGTGGAACTGGCTGTGAGTGTGTGTGTGTGTGTCTCTGTGTGTGTTTGTGTCTTGGCAAATGGCTACAACTCTTACTAGATAAGACATCATGCTCAGACAGAAGGGCCCCCAAACAGATTTTAAAACAGGGGTTGGTATAAGGAGGAGAAAGAGGTGGAGAAGAGGGTGTTCACAAAACAAAATCCTCTGTTTGCTTCACTCTCCTGTTGCTGGTGTGTTGTTTCTGATATTGTTGTTTCCAGTTTTAAAACCACATACTGTGAATGTGATGTCAGAGAAATGCAGATTCCTGCAGAGAGGATTCTCCCTCCATTCTTCCCCCGCAAACGCGATGGACTAACCCATCTTCTGTTTCGCTCCAACTTTCTCTTCCCTTTGCGTGCCGGCGAGCGTGTCTCACACCTCCTGGTCCTCGAAGACCTCTAAGAAGAGCGGGGGAAAGAGTTCGTTGGGACATTCCACCTTCATGTGAAGGAAGCGACTGGCGTGGCACGCCCCGATCATCCGCAGGTCCGTCACCTTCATCAGAAGCTTCGGCCAGAAGTGGGGAATGTTGTGCTTGCGGTAGTTGATGTAGTGCTCGAACGCCAGCAGGTACGTCTCCTGGCACTTCTCGATCTTTTCCGTACAGGTCAGGCCTGAGCGATCTGCACAAAGCAAAGACGGCGAGCGGGAAGAGGGAGCGCAGATGGCGGTGGGGAGGGGGTTAGAGAAGAAATATGGGAAAAGGATAGAAGAAGGAGAAGGGAAAAGAGAACATATGGACAATGAGTACTACATAGTTGAAGATGTAAGAACTATAAATGTTAGCAATACTAAATAAGATGAGACCTGTTATCAAGCATCATGTCCAAGGTTCGTACTGGAAATAGCATTATATTATCATGGTGCCATCTGGGTGATTACAACCCAGAAAAAATCCTAATTACGTGGCAGCAATTTTTCCAGTTTATTAAACTTGGGAAAAATACAAGCGTTTATTCTAGGAACATAACATTTTTTATATATAGATATTAGGGGTGCAACAATACTCAATCGATATTGAACCGTTTGATACAGTGCTTTCGGTTCGGTACGCATATGTATCGAACAATACAAAATTTTAAATTTATTTTATCAACTTTTCTTCTGACGATGCTGTCTGTGTTGAGCGCTCAGTGGATCTGCGCTC